GTTTTTCAAGCCGGGAGATCCCAGACGCGACCCGTAATTGGATTTGATGTACAAGAGGATTATTTTTCGGGGCCATTGTATTTCATACATTATTATTTGAGGTATTTTGTGTGGATATGTGTTTAAATGTGTGGCTGTGGTGTGTTTAGTTGGTGTGTGTATATATATATATGAAAAAAAAATATTTTAACTCCGTGGGGCCCGACATCATTTTGGTCATTATAATGACCAAATGGTCATCACCTGACTATTGTTTTTTTCTTTCTTCTCACGCCATTTCTTTCTCTTCTCTGTACTTTTCTTTTTTCTTTTTCCTTCACCACTTTAAGCTTAGATTTACACAATTCCATCGACATTTTGACTTTGCCACTAAAGGCAATGTTAACGAGCACGACGAGAGCTTCGAATTGATTGGAGCAGAATTGCATTTGGACCACCATGGGGATTTTCAAAAATTTAGAGAAATTGGGGCTTTTGCTTTAAATCAAGGTTGAGTTATCTAATTGCCAATTTCTTTGGATTTGGTAGTTAATTGGATGTTTTTGCCCCTCTTTAGAATGTCAATTTGATGCTTGAATGGATTGATTTGATTCTAGAGTTTGGCTTATGTATGAATTTGTCTATTTGATGAATATATGTTGAGCTTGTGTATAAATTAGAAAAAGACATGCTATTAAATGGCTATGTGATGGAACATATATTTTTTTATGGTTGAGTTGATGTTTTTGGTTATATATATTCTTGATTATATTTAGTGTTTGAAACGTGCTATGGTTGTAACAACTGTTGTTCCTCCTATGGTTGTAACAGCTGTTGCCGGTAAAGTTGGTGCCCTGTTGGACACCCATGGAAGGTTGGCGTCCGCGTCCAGTTTGTCCCTGATGGAATCCTAAATGTCCAATGTAAGGCTACAAGTATTGGACTCCCTGTGGCTGTTGTCCATGTTCGACTCTCCAATTTGTCCTTGATGGAATCCCAACGGTCGCATGTAAGTTGGGGTGCACACGATTTGGTTCGGTACCCAGAACTGAAATCAGTCACAACGATTTCTTAAAAATTGAATAGGAACCGTGTGTATATGGAACCGTACCGAATCGAACCAGGAATACCGGTTTGGTTCGACTCGGTTCCACGGTTCCCTGTTGTTGCTTCTCAACCTCTGCTAAATTCGCCTCATCATTTACCTACAAAATATCATCTCGTTAGTGGAGAAACCTCAAATTTGGAAAATAGGGCAAAGTTTCTGATGCCAACAACTTGAAAGTATATAAATTTAGGAACTAGAAAGGTCAGGAACGAAAAAGACCAATGCACATTGCGGAAAACAAAAGGGTTCAGCAAAGACAAATCTACCAGGAAAGAAAAACTAGAAGATTTTACCAATTGCAGTGATCACATGATTGCTAAATATGAATAAACATTTTAATCACAAAAAAACAATACAACACAAAAAACAGAAAGAATTTACAAGTTTCTTATAAGTACCTCATAAACATAATTGAGAGACAAATGAATTCATAATCTATTACGTAAATAAGGACTATTGGAATAAAATCAAACTAATGCATCATCATTTCCATCATTTAGCCCCTTACATATCATTATCCAAGCAAAGCTTTCGATGTATATTCAAAATAACGTTTTAGATGACCGTGTAAATTGTGAATCACAACACATAAATAACAATTACAATATCTATATCATGACTAGGTCTGAAATTTCATCCATGCACCTATGCCAAATTAGATGGTGTGTGTGTGTAGATTAGAGAGACGTCTCAGGCTTGAGAAGATGAGAACAAGTTCTTATCAGAGAAACCATGTCGCTGATTGAGATAGTATGTGGGCGATACAAAAGATGAGAGGACTGATGAGGCAGAGGCGATACATAACTCAAGATGAGAGGACTAAGGATGGGAAATGAGGTGGCTGATCAGAACTTGAGAGGTTAGGTTTAGGTTAACTTTTGTTTTTGTGGTTTACAACTTTACATCAAGTGGCTCAAAACAAAAGGACCAGTGTGGACCACGTGTTTATTGCCTACTGGTGTATGACTGACAATAATAGTATGTAATTAATAATATATATAATTAAATATATATATATATGTGTGTGTGTGTGTGTGGTTAGGTTCGGTTCCTAACGGTTCCCACAGGTCTGGAACCGAAATCGGAACCGAAACTGAAACTCCTGTACGGTTCGGTTCCACAGTTTTTTTGTGCACCCTTGCATGTAAGTCCCCAAGTGTTGGACTCCTTGTAGTCGTTGTCCCTGTTCAACTATTTGTTGGGCCTCTACTGGCAGACCTCCAATTCGTGCTTGATGGAATCCCAACGGTGGCATGTAAGGCCCCAAGTATTGGACTCTCTGTAACCGTTATCTCTGTTGTTGGAATCCCAACAGTGGCATGTAATCACCGTGTCCCAATCTTTGTTATTGCATGGATAGGACAACAAATCAATAGCCAAATTAATGTGAGTTATGTGCGTTGGACCGTAATAATCTAGCTATCAGCAGATTGCATTACAATACTCAAAATTTTCTATATCATCCATCAAAGCAGGATGTTTGTTTAAATTGTCCGCACTATAGCATAAAATAAAATGAAAACGAAAATCATATATAAAAAAAGAAAAAGAAAAAAAGAAAAAGGAAGAGGAATAAATTAGAAAAAAAATTATTACATTGCTCCAATATGCTTAGTTAATGGATGAAATGACAAATTTAAACTTACAATTTAATGTTAAATTAAAAATTATTTATTTTTTAAAATTACCAAAATACCCTTTAAAGTTATAAAAATTATGTTTGAGAGACGGGTGAAGAAGAATATTAAAGGGTATTTTTGTAATTTTAATAAAAAATTTAATTTTTAATTTAATATTAAATTATAAGGTTAAATTTGTTATTTCATAGCCAGGTTAACGGGTCGGATATAATATTAGGGCAATATGATCACTTTTTAAAAGTGTACGAGTTTTCTGAAATAAGTTGGGATTTTATGATCAAAATTTAAAAGTAGTGAGAGTCTTATAATTTTAACCCTAACCACAATCCATTAGACTAGAGGAGTACTATATTCTGGTACACTAACATATCCAACAATTTTTTAGAAGGGGGATTTGGATTAGCGAGAAATAAGGGATGAGGGAATATATTTAGATTGAAGGCCAAGGGGGTCTATTTAGATTTGGCATTACCAGTGACCTAGTTGGTAGAGTTCTCTGAGCAATCTTTGTCCGATTCTCTCTCTCCCGAATTTGTTAGAATAAAAAATATATAATAATAATTTTAAAAAAACCATGAGGTGAGCCTAAGATGCTTCACATATTCCTTCTTTGCGAATCCATATATATCTCCGCATTTTAATGTTAGTGTTCATATTTCATTCCAAATTTGAGTAATCTTCTATATAATCTATAGACACAATCCATATTTAATCAATCAATATTATTCATGAATAATCCAAACAAATCCCACTACAGTGGGGTACATTAGGAATTAGGATTGTATATTGGGATCCATTTCATGTCCTGCTGAAGTGTGGATCCAAATATAGAACACGTCTCAAAATGTTAAATGGAATTTCTGGTTGGGCCAGTAGAAGATCCAAATATTACTTGAGGCCCAGTCTTTCCCAGTCCATCTGGCTTTACCCTGGAACAGGTATGGGCCTAGTTCTTCAGACCTACACCCCATGAGACAAACAGAATCTGTTGATTGAAAATTGATAGGTCTATATGGGTAAAACGGTAAAATAATATACTACCGTTATTAAGTTAGATTATCATTGATGAGCTTAATGAAGTAAATGAAATTAAGAAACTAAGAGAGAATCTCCATGAAATATTGACTCTTTTTATATTTTTAACGTGAATTAACATCTAAGTATGAGTTTGTCACCATCTACTTGTCTGCATTTACAAAATTAAGACTTACAAGCCCTAGTTCTAAGAGCGAGCACTATGCGAACATAAAGTGTGTGCATAGCAAATTGTACGAAGAAGGAATCACCGAAACATGACAAAGCAAGCAGTGTTGAGGCAATACAAAACAAATCCAAATGATTTCATTTCCATGTGAGGAATCTCACTCATACAGTATTTTTCTCAATTAGTTCCCTCAGCAATTCACGGAGACAATGATGAGTTGAGATTGGAGTAATTGAAAAGGCAGATACAGTAGAGTAGTACTCTCAGTGAAGGGGGTAATGAATCAGGAATATTTATGTCCTATTGCCTGTGCTACCTTTACTTTAACAATCACACCTTTTGGATGGTAGTGGGAAATTTCTTTACCCTCTCCCTCAAGAAATGCCATTGTCCTTTGATAATTAATTTGATTAATTTAATATAGTCCAGCTCTTTATGGTATACAGCCAAACAATATGATCCAAGAAAAACAAAAATATTCTCTTGTTTCAACCTATTTGGTGGACTCAAACAATCAGTCCTTTAATAAGGACGAAGAAACACCACTAGTTAGGCCAAGCCCACTAAATACATGAAAACACAAGTTGCATTGTCAGTTTCTTTGTTGACATGGATAAAAACTATTCCATGGTTCTGTAGATTAGTCGGGGGTTTAGTTTTATGAACTTGTCACGAGTCTGAACACAGATTTTGAATGAATGAGATTTTTTTTTAAGAAATGAATAAGCAAAGATTGATGGTCCTGACTAAGCTTTATTTAACCTGAATTTGAATGTTTCCTAGAAGAAGTCACCTATCCGTAATTGTCAATTGTGCAAGGGACAAGGAAAGAGGCTCCTTAAATTTCTGTGGAACTTCTCCACCCGGATTCAAGAATAACAGGGCCTGAATAACAAAAACTAACAGTTTTGGATATATATATATATATATATAGATTACAAGAAGTTCAATATTCGAGTTCAAAATGAGAAGCTCAAGAAACACACCATATGTTAACTTGTCAGAACTCGGAACCCACCACAATGTGGCAGGACAATCCCATAATAAATACAATGGTAGGAAGTATATCTATATACAACTGTCTATATATATATATATATATAAATGTAGTGCGGAGAGTTGGATTAGAAAAATACAAAATCTGAAAGTACAAGGAAATCCATATATAAAACAAATACACATTAGCAACAATCTAGAGCACTAAACAAATAGTGGTTGGAGGGATCATCATCGTTGAAAAACATAAAAATACACAGATAATGGAGTTAAATTAGAAGGAAAAACAAAAAAGCCTCGTCATGTCTTACAAGTTAATTCATCCACAGCCTCTTGCACAAGCTCTTCCAGCAGTTTCGCTTCAATTTCCTTTCCAATATTATCTATTTCCCGGGGCACATGCTCAGCCAAACCCTCACCTACCACCTCCTTCCTCACCACTCTCTCCAACACCAGGCTGTTACCGTCCCCACCATCACCTGAAGCACACCTCACCTCGCTGGAAAACCATTCTTTCATCCGGGACCACACACGGTCCACCATTATGGGCGATGCACCCTCTGATACCCTGTTGTGGACCTGACCACTTAGTATGGCTCTTAGGCTTGTGTCTGACCTATACTCTGTTATGTCCACCAGCGCTGCATTGACACAATCGAATACAAGCTTCCTGGTTGATCTCTGTTGCCTTCGATTAGTCTCATGCATTGCCTCCTCGTTGTTCAGGTCGATATATTTGTCTCTGAGTGATGGGTCCAGTGGACTTTCAGGCGAATGCCATCTAAAAAAAAGTGATTCAGAGTGCACCTCACAATTGAGGTCGGCTGCTGACAATAATGTTTGTACAAAGAAGAGCCATTCTTGTTCTTCCTTCTCCGCTCCTTTGGAGGCCAAGGAGTGTTTCAATCGATATGAAGTGGTTGTCTCTACAGCGGAACCATCCCATGACAGAGTTCGAGCAATTGATCCAATAGGCGGTGATTTATCAATTAGGTTTGATTGAATAGGTCTGGCAAGCATTTCTGGTCCTGTTTTATTCGAAGTAGACAAAATAGGTAAGGCAGTAAAGAGAGGTGGAAGCAAGATAATTCAGTACTATAGCGAACAGAATTTACCCTGTTGGTCTGGTTTGACATAGCCAGAGGACTCCGTAGTTGCATTGTCATCCTCTTCAAATGGAGGCTCTAAAACTGAGATTGGACTTGGCTGGTCCTGGTTCTCACTTGAATATCCAGGCGCGACATTCTTTGTTACAGGCAATCCAACCTGCAAAAATTGAGATAAATCCTGTTAATTGATTGCCTAAGTTTAGCAATTATAATGGATATAAATTAATGAAAGCAGCCAAATAGTTGGGACAAGGCTTTGTTAATTAGTGCCACAATTACAGTATAAGCTAGATGTTTGAACATCTAATGTTCTATCACATCATAAAGAATTTTACAACATACTAAAAGCAATAGACTTCAACATTTGACCTACAGCATGCTTCAAATTTTCGTGGCAATTAATTATTGAACAATAAAAGTTTATGTTTTCCACCTTATATGACAAGAACAATCCTACTATTATTGTCATTTGCCTGTTTAAAACATGTCAACTAAAACCATAATTTATTTTTCTAAAGGTCATTGCAGAACCACTGTCTTAATGCCCTTGTCACACATTCTACCCTTTGTTGTCAATACCACCTTTTCTTAGAACTATGAAGAGAGACGGAATATTTTGCCTGAGAATTTCAAGTCTTATTTTGTTTTTGCATATTTTATTGTAAATAAAGAGAGCACAGTTCACTAATCTTGACACAAGCAAAAAAGGACACCACAAATATTAAGCCTTTTAATATGCAAAAACAGAAATTCAATGTCATACCCATCGATACAAGTTACAGAAAAATGCATTTATCAAGAATAATAATAATGATAATGATAATAATAAAATGTTACAGGCAAACATGCATGACAACAAGAGGAAGATTGTTCTACCTCATGAGAAATTATGCCTTGTCTCAGTCCCATGCCAATTAAATCTGGCGACTGCATTTTGCTCAATGATCCGTGTAACCCAGTCAACAAACCCCCTTCAAAGCCAACATCATTAGCATATTTGGACATATCATCATCAACTTTTCCCGGAGAATGTACAGGCATTCCAGAAGATTCTTGAAACTTATCTTTGGTTTGAGAAGCCTTAGGTTTTTCTTTACTAGATTTTTTATTCCTTGAGAAAAATAAACTCGACACTTTTCCTTTGAATGATGATTTTCCGCTCCTTGTCTTTGTCAGCTCCTTGGGGTCATCTGTTTTACCAAACTCTGGATGTGAAACTTCAACATTTAGCCTAGCCCCATATGCCGCTGAAGAAACGGGAAGGGATTTTGACCTCAAAAGATTCCTAGGAGAACCATCCACAGATTCATCTTTATCCAAACCACTAATCAATCTTGAAGTTGATCCCCTTGGTTCTTCTTTGTTATTACTACCATTTTCTTCTTCCGCAGACCTTACAGACTTCTTAGTATCAGAAAGTGCAAGCATCTCACCTAAAGTACTAGAGCTTCTCCGGACATGTCTTTGTTCTTGAAAAGTCCCATTAGATGCAATCATGGCCCATCTTTCAGAGAGTCGCTTCTTAGCTTCTCTACACACTGATGACTCTGGAGAATAAGAAACATGGCTGAAGGAGGATGAAGAATAAGGGCTACCAAACCTATTGATGTAATCCCATGAATGCCTAGAAGTTGGTGACATCACTTCAGAATCGCTGAGATTTCCCGCTGCATACTGATTTTCTGATTTATTAAACGAACTTTCATCACCAGTATAGCCATTCGACAACACTGAAGAAAGCAAAGTTTCATTTCTCTGATGCCCACTCAAATTTTCGCACATCTGCCGTGTGATATCCTTTGCCACTTCTCTTGATTCTCGTGCTTCATCATCTTCTGGTTCCACACAGAATTCTTCACCATGTAGAATTCTTGGTGATGAGGAAGGTGGCGAAACCACAGCCTCAGTATCATAAGGCTTCCCAGGGCTAGGTTTCAATACTACTATTCGCGTCGATTGAATAGAATAATTATCAACCCTACAATTGGCAGGATGAGAAAATTCAGTAATTCTTTTATCCCGCCCAATCACCTGACCAACATGGGGTGCCTTCTTTGTCTCTTTTGCGTCCTTCTTCCCTGATCCAGCAAATTTGTTATTATCCATCATCTTAGAAGGTCTAAGAACAGTGATGCGCTTTGTCTCGGGAGGCTGGGAAATGGACTGTGAATTGTATAGACGCTGAGAGAACAGGGAATTTGGTTCTTGCAGGAACTTCAGGAATAAATCTTTGTTGGAATTCAAAACTTCCAATGCATCTTGGAATTGCTTGGAGTGGCGAAGTTTTTCATCGGTTGCCAGGCGTTTTGCTTCAATGAATTTCTGACGAACAAGAGCCATCTTTTTCTCATTCATATTCTCATTATGCCTTCCCTTCTGTGGTGATTTCTCTCTTAAAAGATTTGCTTTTTGTGATTGCTGCCATACTTCATAAACATCTCTGTATTCATTCTGCTCTGGACACTGATGAACCTCATGTTGCATTTGCACGTCCAAGAACCCATTTTTTTGCTGCCAATAATCCAAGGGTACGCCTGAATAACTTCGTGAATATCCTCTTGAATGTATTTTTTGCACCACTGAATCAGGTTTCCTCTGAGGGAGGGCATCAAGCCCCATCAACTTGGCAACTACACTGGGTGGATTATGCTTGGAATCCATTTCTTTTGACATTTCCTGGGCTATTAATGTCTTCACTGGTGTTCCATTTGCTTTTTTATTTGAAGTTCTCCTTAGCTCAGACATTATCTGCATGTGCCACATAAACAGAACAAATACATATATGAGTACTTCAACAATATCACAATTCAGAACTCAGTATCAAATATGTATTTAGTAATAAGCTTCTAATTTACCACTTTATCCTCTATCTGATCATCAATTGGATATTTTGTTGACGCATCTGATCGGCTTCTTGAGAACGGAGATCCTGCTAATCAATTACTACCATGTCAACAAGCGGACTTAAAACTTAAGAATGCATCATTACAGGTACCAAAAAAAAGGTACCCATCATGTTTGAAAAGTAAAATTTGTGTAGGCATTTTAAAAAGAAAAGATATTTAGTCTATTTTAGTTATCAAAATGCTATTTCTGTTGAAAAGAACCTGTAGGGGGTACCATTGCCTCAAAGGTTATGGCCATCTCCAGTTTTTCCTCCTCCCACCAACTCACAAAGATGGGACCAGTACAGGGAATGACCTTTTGACTGTCCTTAAGAACCTCTTTAAGGAGGGTATAATAGATTGAACTTCAAATTTTACACTTAACCTATAGGGGGGAGAGAGAGGGAGATTAAACTACCTGCTCATTAAGGCAGTCAACATCACACTTTAGGAATTCGAACTCTAAATTTTTCACTAGCCTACAGTCAAGTCTCAACATGTTGAAAAAAAAAAAATGGTAAATCATAGTTGTGGCTTTCTCATTATTTGAACCAATTTCTAAATGAAATATTACAGAGATTAAAGATTTGACTAAATATTAATAGACAGAGAATTGACCAGACCAACAACAATTAGCAAACAAACTAATCCACTTCTAGGTGGAACCAGATGACAATCTGACCAACAAACCATCAAACAGAAGGAAACTTGCCCAATTTTTTGTTAGTATATGATTAATTTTATCATCGCTTGTCTCTCCTCAGTCCTTGGGATAGTCAATTTGATAAGTGATGAGTATAAACTATCAATAGATCCATGATTTGACAACTGTTATAAATTTCCAAGCCAACAATGCAAAGCTAAGAGATACCTCACACAGGAAGTGGGAAAAGTAATATGTAAAATATAATAGAAGAGAAGGTCAGCAAAGGAAATCACCATCACGATCACAATATGGTTTATCCGCGAGCAGCCTGTTTCCTGATACACCTGTACTCAAATCAAAGAGGTTGACCATTCTTCCCAAGCATCCCGGAAAGGACTTCTCAAGATTGTTGCTTTTGCCATTCTGAATCCCATTCATTTCTAACACCTGAAACAAAAGTATGCCCGCGGGTAAACATCAGTTGTATTTTGCGTTTGGATCTCAGGTAAGGCCTGAAACACGAAGATTAAATTCCTAATTCACCCAATACCTGGTGCAAAAATGAAGAATAAGTGCCACCAAATAAGAGAGCATTAAGCTTCAAGGTAGAAGCTCAATCAAAGGGTTTAATTCAGAAAAATGTACCAACAACTAGTGCAAAACATAAACATTTTAACAGGCAACGGAATAATACGTGCATAAACAGGGAAGGGGGAGAGAGAATCGAGAGGAAAAGAACGCTTGTTCAAATGGACAATGGATTTTTTCATTTCATTTCTTCTCTTTTTTAACGCTTATTAGAATTATGACAAGATATAAAGAATAACAGAGACAAGACTCTGTGTGCAGTGTGAAAATTCGGCCTATTCACATGAAAGTTCACATCAAGAGGTAACAACACGCTGAATAAACTCTCAGTGTTCTGAAAAAAAAAAAAAAAAAAAAAAAAACTAGCTGAAGCATCAAGTAATCAACATTCATTCGGATAGACACCAAACTGTTACATATCACCATTACCTTAAAAACCGCATATTGAATCACAAACAATAAATAATTGGGAAGTCAAAATTCAAGCTTTTAAAAATAAATTAGGTTTAAATCAAAGAAATTCATATAAATTACTACTTAAGATTCAAATATCATTTCAAAAGGCTGCAATTACAGCAGCCAAAAAGCAAATCAAGAGAGAAAAAGTAGAGAGAGTACAGAGAGATAATCAGATTCGATTAGCTTCGAAAAGCGAGATACGGAGAGAGGGCAAAAAGGCGAAACCAAAAGAGTATCGGGGACACTAAAAGGGTCGCATAATCACAAAATGCAAACTCCTGACGCAAGAGAGAGATTCCAGGGAGATCAAAAGAGCTTTTAGAGAGAGAAAGTAGAGAGAAGAAGAAAAGGGAGAGGATTGGGACCTTGTGTGAGGGAAAGAGGTACTAGTGGCTGCGACGCCGATTGAATCTCACATTCCGGCGAGAATGTGGCCGGAGATTCGCCGAACTAAGAGGCTCTGATAAGAGCAAAGAGGGAATTCTCTGCGCCAACTCTGTCCGACCTGAATTCCATTTGTTTATTCTGATTCATTTACGAGTTCATTACGGAAGAAACCAGAGAGAGAGAGAGAGAGAGAGAGAGGGAGTAGAGAGAGAGAAGGAAATGAAAAAACAGATAATAGAGAGAGAATGGTACGTCTACGCGTACTAAAAAAAATTACTGTATGAGATTCCCTTTTGCACACCTAATTTGACAAAACTTTCATGATCCTATTTTTGATCTTAATGCAATTGATTTGAAGTTGATAAAATAATAATAATAATAATAATGAATTTTAAAAAATAAAAATTTGATTTGAAGGAAGAAAGGAAATATAAGGAAAACATATTTATAAATCAAAAAATAAAAAAACATATTTGTTATCTTTTTCTTTTCTTTTTTTCCTTCTACTTGCTTGATAGTAATTCTCTATTGTAGCGGGTGTAATTTTTTATTGAAATAAATTCATTTACTTCTAGGGTCCATTTCTTATAATATTTAAGCAAAATATATGATTCCGTAAGTTGACCAATGATATAATTGCAAAATGTAGTGAACAGCTAAATAAGACTCATAAAATCAAAATTAAATTTCAATTTTTATGATTTCAATTGAGAGTTTGTGCATTGATAAAATTTTAATTAGGTCCAACTTTTATTCTAAACTAATTTGCATTATGGTGGTGGAGTTTTGTACTTAGATTTGTAGATCTCTCGCATGACTAATACTCCCACCACAGTTTCAATTAGTTGACCAAACAAGGGAACAGACCTTTCATGCGACGAAAATGAATATTTTATGGCATAATGTTTTACTTTTATATATGTTTTGATATCCCATGACGTCCATGTTTACCTAATTCACTAATTTGATTGCCTTTGTTATAAAGTATTTTTGTTGATAAGTCACTTATTTTTAACTCACGTAAATTAGATTTGAAGTTTCAAAAGTATTGTTCAATTTGTAATTTTCTTTCAATATTTTGATACTATTACACACTTATATAAATTGATCGATTCTGTCAATTTATACAGATATTCATCACACGGATATCGCAATCAATACCACGGCTACAAACCATGCATATGATTAGATATTTTTTCAATTTTTTTTTGATATATTTAGACTTGCACAAATTTAAATTAAATGATAAAATTGTTTTATTGTAATCGGAAGATAATGAATTCACACATAAAGTTATTTTAGATATATACGAGTATTTTAAAACATGGTCAAGTGTATGTATATGGTGAAAATATGACAATGAGAGTTGAATTAAAGCAAATATACATACAATAATATACTATTGATTACGAAGTAGATTAGATTTTTTAATGTGAGGTTATGAGGTTTTGGTTTGAGTTTTTTACGCGAAGTTTCGTCGTTGTCTGCGAACACTCGACAACGCGGTGTCAACGGCCAGATTGTTGAAAGACAGTTTGACGTAAACAACCCGTCGTTTTAATGTAAATTGCGAAAATAACATGACGCGCTGGTGTTTCAAATTTTAACGGCTCGTGTACCACCGATGTTGTCTTGATCAATATTAACCGTTGGATTGGTGGAACTGACAGTACAAGACATATCACAATTCTTGGCATTTGGCAATTTGGGGACCCACCGCCAAGCACTATGCCATTTTTGGGTCAAATAAAATAAACTTTTATATTTTTTTCTGAAAATGAAAGTTTTATATTGTCTCAATATGAAAAAAAAGAGAGATTAAAAAGAAAAGAAAAAAACAAAGAAATTATAATACAGTAATAGAAGAAAACAAAATTTATTTGAAACACCAGTGCATAAAATACTCAAACCAAAACAGTATAATTTTTTTGTAGTATTACTAACGGTTTATGTGTAACATTATTACATTATAACACCACTCATACTGAGTGCAACCATTGTATATAAAATGCAAATAAAATTGTTGTAATATTATATTCAAATACAATATGATAATTTATCCTCTTGATAATAAGTGTGACATCGTTCTCCCATCTTGGAAGTATCATGTAATGGAAATCTTAATTCTTATAGCTGGATTAGGGTATTTATTTCAATACAACAAATTGTAGATTTGGCAACAATTTTTTTTTTTTTTTTTTACAAAAATAAATTCGTGGTTATAATTTTTTTGGCACAAATTCTGATTTTTGTGACAAAAGCTAAACTAATGGACACAAAAACTAAATTTTGCAGCAAAATTTATTTTACCACAAGAGTAAAAATTCGTGCCTAAAAGTGATCATTGGCACAAATAATAATTTTTGGGACGAAAGCTAAATTAATTGACACAAATAATAAATTTTGAGGCGAAAAGTAGAATTATCCACGCGTACAATCCAGTTTGTGGCAAAAAAAATATTTTGTCACAAAGTGTAAATTCATGTTTAACCTTTTAACACATTGACTGAATTTTTTGATCAAAGTCTCATTTGAACATATATCAAATGATACAGGTGTTTAGTATTTCTTATTTTCTTTTACACACACTACTCTAGATAATAGATTTTGGATAAATGTCTCACCGAGCATCAGCGATCAGTAACCAAACAAATCATAGATCTAATCTTTTTCATTCGAATTTTTCACTGTTAGGTTTTCACTAATCAAGTTGACATTCTATCAATATCTCGTTTGTCTCTTTAAAATTTTTATCACATGAGTTTATCAGTTGAATTTTATTTTATTTTTTACATTTCAATTAATTTAGGTTTACAAATCTATCACAATACTCAGATAAATGTGATTAGTATGTTATAGAAACTCAATCCAACACTTGTTGTATGTGAAGTGTAAACATAAAATCCGATTAACAGTGAAGATTTATAATGGTTTATAAAATTTAGCCTCGGTGGAGTCTTGAAAATTCCTCGTTTTTTTAATGAGCCTGATTTAAATAATGGTAATCCTGACTCGTAGAGTCACTCAAACATGAGTTTCAACTAAACCCACCATTCACAAACCAACAAACTAAAAATTGAACAGTCTTGACTCAAGTTAATTCACTGGAGATCCTGATCACATGTTTAATAATTTGATATAACGGTTGAGGCTAAATTTTTACCGGAAGTTATTTTATTTATTTATTTTATTCTCACAAATAACATACACAACTGTATCATGTGTGGTTAATGATTACTAAATATATTTAAAAATATTTTTTTTAAATAAAAATACTTTTAAGCAGTAGAGAATTCCAAATAAGCTCTTAGTCTCCATTGATGATTTGCATAGGAGACATTAGGCAGTATTGGAGCTTTGCTTGTAACTTAGTTTATTACTTAATTTTTCAGAATCGTCGAGATGTCAATTAATAGGAGAAGAATTTAATATGCATATGGGTCCATGATTGCATTAAAAAAAAACTATATAAATTTATCTAGTTTACTTCATTTATGGAAATTATGGGCAACCATGGACCCAAATGTTTAATTGCTCAAAAGAAAAAGATTTTCTCACATTAAACCAACTGGTGGCCTATCCAACAAATCCCCTCTTTTTCAAACGAGAATGAATTTTCAATAGTATCCCCATTTGTTAATTTGCGGTTTGGAATTAAGTATTTACATATAATTTATATGCATATTATTTATGCAATGTGATACATCCAATCTAAAAAGAAACTTAAGAATATATGTATACGAGAAAATTTTGGTTGAGTCAATGCAACGGGCACATCAATTTTTTATTATTGTGCATGTAATACACTCATTCACGCACATCCAACCGTTCATTATCCCATACGTATTACACGTAAAACATGTTAAATATTTGATAATACATTATAATAAATAATTTTTTCTAATTAAATTATTTTTATTTATTTGGAGCAATTTTTTTTTAAATACTTCTATCGCTAATTTTACAATAATATCCTTAATAATAACAACTTTATTAAAGGAGGAGTGTAATTGTCATTATAAAAAATAAAACGAACAAAATTATCTAATGAAAAATAGTTAAGTAAAATATTCAACCTCTACACACGTAGTTTTATAAGTTATAAATTATACCTTTATTCAAACACTCTAGTGAACTAATGATTACCAAACACATTTAAACGCTAAATTCTTTATTCCTCCAACTTGTAAGTAAATGGTCATTAAAAGGGTATACATAATACAGAAACCCAACCTATAATTTGAGATTACACAAATAAAAATATATTTCCTTAATAGCAAACACAAGGGTGTTATATATTATACATTCTTTTTCCTAAATTAGAAATTCTTTTTTAATTATGCTTTAACTTTTGAAAAAAGTTAATATGACTTGTGCAATTCATTTCATAAAATTTTAACAAATTTTAAAAAACTAATTAAAAAATACACTATATGTAAAGTTGTGTACATACAAAAATATATCTTTCCTTGATAGCCAGCAAATACGATAGCTATATTATTCATTATTATTTAACTATGCTTAAAATTTTGAAGATACCTTATACAAATATCATAAAAAATTAGTTTTTAAAATGTCACTTCAACCATATGCCCTCAGGCACAGCCGTACACGAAAGGAATCCATAACAAGTTAAGACACTTTTTTAAATTTCTTATTTAATTCTTGTAGAATTATTTTTGTTTTGTCTTCCAAAACTACCCTGGATCTACTGCGTTTGGCTGGTTGAGAATATAAAAGGAAGTAGGGATGGCAATGGGGCGGGTTTGGAGCGAGTTTCTCTAAATCCCGCCCCGCCCCTTTTAATTTTTATCAAGTCCATGCCCGCCCCGAGACCCGCGATAGGTTGGATTTTCATATTCAACCCCGCCCTGTTAGGAAATACTGTGCCCCCGTGCTCGCCCCACTAACAAATTTTTTTCTCCCACTTTTTGGAACTTAAAACTCCTGCTATTTAAATGT